TCTTACATATTTTGACCTTTTTTTTTTCTTTTTTGCTAGTTTCAGGTGAGAAAGTAAGTCTGATCTCACTTATTCCAGCCTGCTATATTTTTTTAACGTAACAACGTGGCAGTCGCTATAACACTGCTAAGCCACTGTTTTTCACCCTTGGAGGAAGGAGAGGTACAGGTTTACCTTGATAAGTAGCACCTGTACTTCTTATAAATAATAAGTTCCCTGAAAACGAGACTATTTTATTCCACATTGTGTTTTATCTAAAGAGTAGATTATCTTAACACATGTTTTACTGTTGGATTTGGAAACCCTGATTTTAACTTCCTATTTTATCTCTTCTTCTGTACTACAAAGTAGAAAGGAATCTCCTGGAGGTGGGAAATATAAGCCTCTCCCTTCTGCAAGGTGTAGCCGGTCACTTGCTCGCTGAGTTATGTGTGCCTGGGTGTTGCCCGAGTTTGCAACTCCTTTCCTCTCCCACCCTTAGGACTGGCTGGACGGAAATCGCCACCCACGTGCAGTCTGCTCCTCGCCTTTGCTCACCACTAACCAAGCCCGGCAAACAACTGCCAATGCTACACAGCAAAATAGTGTGCCACAGGGCAAAATTTTCAAAATAAATTTAGATTGGTTTAATAAAAATAAAGCCTGTGCAAGTCCACAAAGAACTCAGCCCAGTGCTCCCTGGGGTGGCCTGCTGGCTGTTAGGATGTTGACCGAACTCATCAAGTGCATTTCCTTAAAGTGGGAAGCCACCACAGTCCCACGCTGTCATTATTTCCCTGCCTGCGTACACTGTGAAGGTCATGGGCCATCTCCGATGTCACAAATATGCAGGTTCCAGCGCTGTTTGTTACTGTGTCAGTTAAGCTTTCCAGCTTTAAAATTAAACCAAGCTTTCCCATCCATTACAGTCCTCTGGGTAGTAACTGGATGGCTGCAGATGAATTTTTAATATTTTCTTTCCATTTCCAAGCGCTGTGTCCTCTCCAGGGCTCAGCCTTTGCACGCGACGCTCAGCCTTTGCACGCGAACCGTTCGCCTTCACCTTCGAGATGACGTTAAGGCTACTGGCTTTGTCCTAGAGGCCTCTGAGCTGCCAGTTGCCCCCAGCATCAGCATGGATTCCACCTGTCCCTAACCAGAGTTATGTAGCCAGTAGGATGGCTGAAAAGAAATTGTGATTGGGGCAAGCTTTAGACAGCAGGAGAGTGTTCTAGATTGAGGGTATGCCCCTAGCCTGTGCGATCAGATAGAGATGTTGGGGAGTGGTTCAGTGATAAGAGCCCTGGGCGAGGCATCAGAAGACCAAGGTCCAGACCCAGTGTGGCCTCTCCTGGACAGTGGCTCACCCGAGGGCAAGGATAGGGCCCGGTTATTTCGCACTCCCCGCCATGCCTTGCACAGTCTCATTCACAGAGTACATGCTCAATAAAATTCATCAACAGTTTTAGTGCCCACAAACCACATGACTTGAAGCATGCATGTGGAATCACTTTGTCTAGGCCCAGGTATTTCAGCCTGTATATTTCATATAGAAGAGGTGCATTGGGGACAAGACTCATTAACAGCTGGGAGTGTACTAGGGCCAGTCAGTAAAAAAAACAACTGCTAATTCTACTCTGTTTTCACTTTATTTAAAGACTCTGAAACCATCGATAAGCCCTGTGTTGGAGGTCTTTATTGACTAATATTTCTTTCCTAGTTCAGCTGGGTGGAAATCAGAAAGACATTGTAGGAGACCAGAGCTTTGCTTCTTTGGGAAGAGACCAAACCCAGAGAAGTGGCTCTGGCTGTCTGCACAGCGAGGTCAGGGGCACGCCTGCCTGCCTGCTTTGCTGCCTTGACCTTCAGACCGCCCAGAAGCAACAGAAATACTGCAAGGGACAGGGAAGGAGGTGACAACAAACTATGCCAGCATCTGGAAGTGTCTTTAGGGGGCATGGTGTGCCCTTCATTTAAAGCCTACATGGGGGATCTTCCCAAGAAATACAAGTGGAAGAGGTCAGGGGTGGGGGTCACCACCACCACTTCTCCCCCCACGGCCCACCATGTGCTCTGTGAGCTCCATGTGACCACTGCCTTCCAGAAGTTTGCCTTAGAATTGTCCCATTAACCCCACACTTCTAAGCGTAATAGCATTTTAGCTTCACTATGTGCTGGCTTTTGAGAGAGGAAAGCAAAGCAAACACCTGTTCTGAAACAGGTGACGCTGGCTGTGTCGGTGATCTTCGTCCAAAGTAAGCTCTCCGGCTCGGAGGTGGCGTATGAACCTGGGCTGCGGTCTACGTGCACCACCCTGGGGGCTGTGCGACATGTGGGCAGACAGGAAGGGAGGTGACAGACAGTACTTCAGGGAGTCAACCATGGGAGCAGTAACAAAGATTGGCAGCACGAGAACGAATACTGTCTTTAGCGCAGACCAAAGACTGCCACCGACAATAAAATGATTATTAGTCCTGGGCAAAGTTAAATTCGAGGTATTTAGAAAATGGTGGGACCCTTTTTGAGTGAAAGCAATAGAGAGCTCACAACCACCCCTGTTTCTCAGTCTTTCCTCCGTAAGGTCTCAGCTTTGGGGCCTGAGCCCTGGTCTATGCCATGGCAGTGACCGAGTACCGTGAGTCCCAAACCAGGGTTGGTTTCCTAAGGTAGTTTGGAGTCACAAAGCAGCTCAACTTTCACTTGGTGTGTTGATCACAAAAGTTAAAATTCACAGAGGAGCCTCTGTCTTAGCTTGGAGCGTTAGTTGTTTGGGGGGCCAGGAGTAGAGATATGAGGGTACTCTTATTCAGTAGAACAGTGGAGTTTTGAGAGTGTGAGTAAAAGCAATATAATAATGACACCAACATCAAAGTAAATGCAAGAATCAGATTTCACTGAGTCCTTTTATATTGTCCATTTTCTATTGAATATAATTTCTAACCTGATGATGAGGATATTAAAGGTGGTAGGTCTTGGGGGGGGCATCCCACCCGGAAATAAATCTGATGGCTAAAAATACATGACAATGGGAATGCTTACTAATGTCCACAGCTCAGAGGTGACCCTATATACCATAGATTCCAATTAGCTTTAATTCAGTGAGCTGGAAGTAGGTTCAATTATTTCCTTTGGATTTCTAGAAGAAGTGCCTGTATTGTAACAGTGTCAGGCACCTGCTACCCCAACACATCAATTAAAGCACTGGAGTGTTTTATAAAATCACCAGCCACAACAATAAAATGGCAAACAGTAATTGTGAACAGACATCTGCCTTAGGTCATACTCTGTATCTTACAGTTTAATGCAGGCAGTAAAATCTCTCACCTTTTGTTGGTGGGGTTTTGTTGGTAGTCACATCTGTTTTGCTGTTTCCAGTACTGAGAATGTTGAGGTGAAATACATATTAACATTGATTTTTCCTACAACATGCAAGTGAATTTTCTGGATTATTATGTACTCTGCTATCATAAGGACGGTTTCTAACAAGCAATAATTTCACATTCTGCTATTCCATTAAGTCATGATAATTTAAGATATGCCATATGTGAAGTCACATCACAATCTCTGATGAATTTTTAAGAGGAGGCGGGTTTAATTAAAATTGGCATGGTTACCATTAAATTAACAATCAGGAGCATTTAGAACAATTAGCCGCTTTTCCCTTTAAAAGATGAGGCTGCCTGTGTGTTCCCAAGCCCCTTACTCTGCTGTGTCTCTGCATAGCAGGTGCTGAAGAAGCTACCGTTTTCCTGTTTGTTTTATATGTTGCCCTTGATATTTTTTTTGGGGGGGGGGCAAGAGGAAGAAAGAACATTTGAAATATTAAAGTTGATTTGTGAGCGTGCTGGTCAGTGTCCAGGTCACATCCTCTAGCAGGGTGACCTACCTGGGCGAAGGAAAGAGCATGCCTTTTAGACATGTGTGGGCTTGCTTTTCACTGCACTGGAAAGCCACTAGAGGGCCCACGCGGGTCCCGAAGTGTCCCGTGCGTGCACCTGCCGTTCTGGCTGCGGCGTAGCAGACTGAGAGCGAGGGCAGCGCATCCCCTTGGAGGGCAGGCGGTGGGGGTGGCTGGGACCGGACCTCTGGCCGTGGAGGTGGCACGAAGTCACATGGTGGGAATATGTTGGAGGGACCGTGGCAGGACATGGGTGCTGCAGTAGTTCAAAGTCAGGAATCCCTGCAGCAGAGATCGGCTGTCACTTGGACCTGACACTGGACAGGGTCTAAAGAGAGGGGCCCGAGGCGTTGCTCTCTGGTGCACGAGCACAGGTTGCTGGGTTATTGTAAGTCTGACTTCTCTCTGGATTATTCATTTATTTCCATTAAAAACTTTCAAAGAGTAATCCCCTCTAAGGAAAAGAAAGGGAAAGAAGGAAAGAGGGAAGGAGGGAAGAAGAAGGAAGACAGGAAGGAAGAGAGGAAGGAAGGAAGGAAGAAGAAGAGAAGGAGAAGGAAGGAAGAAGGAAGAAGAAGGAAGAAGGAAGAGGAAGAAGAAGAAGAAGAAGGAAGAAGGAAGGAAGAGAAGAGAAGGAAGAAAAGAAAGGAGGAAGGAAGGAAGGAAGAAAGAAAGGAGAGAGAGAAGGAAGGAAGGAAGGAAGGAAGAGGGGGGAGGAGAAGAAGAAGAAGGAAGAAGGAAGGAGAGAGGAAAGGAAGGACAAGAAGAAGGAAGGAGGAGGAGAAAGGGAAAGGAGGGAAGGAAAGAAAGGAAGGAAGAAAGAGAACCGCTTCAGTCTCTCCAAGCCGGCCTAGAAGAAACATTAAAGGCTGGAAGGAATTTGGCAGTTTTTTCTGTTATTCTTTTTCCAAGCACGAAACCTTGCTCCCAGAGCCCCATAACTGGAGCCAATAACTTTAGTCCCTGCCTGGTTCTTCTTTTCAATTCTTAAAAAAAAAAGATGCCAAACCACAGGCAATTCCTTCTCGCCCACTTGCTCTTGGAGAGCCTTCTGCGGCAAGAGGCCGCTGTCACCTCTGTGCCTGCCGGGTGCCCCGCGGTAACGGGACCTTGTCTCTTGCAGGCCACCCGAAGCAGCGGAGCGCGCCGGGCCGGAGCGCGTGCGGGCCGCGGCCGGAGGCGCCGGCGCGCGAGGCGGAGCGGCAGCTGGCGCAGCGTGCGGGAGCGCTCGAGCGGCAGCGCGGCAGCGGCCGGCGCGCCGCCGAGCTGGGCAGGGCCGCGCGCGGCTTCGACGCCCTGGCCGTGGCCGCGCAGCATTTCTTTCGAAAGGTGAGGCCGGGTCTGGGCACTGTCCGGGGGCTTCGGGGTTGCGGGGAGAGGGGAGGGGTGGTCCTGTGCGCGTGCGTGTGCGCGCGTTTCCATTTGGGTTTTGAGTATGGATCCGAGCTGAGTTTAGGTTTTCAGAAGGTCCCACAAACCCCGCAGCGTCCTGTCATGTTCTGGGGCCACTTTTAGCCGTACAGTGTGAAAAGCACTAGTCTGGGAAGAATGATTCATAACCTCCATCCCAAAAGAGAAAATTATCTTAAAAAGAAAAAAAAAATACATATGAACATTTTTAAAGAAAGTGGGGCATTTTTTCGAGGTGAGATATGCCCAGATTCTGACATTTCTGCTCATTTCAGATGGAAGGGAGACAGGGCCGCGGTGCAGTCCCTGCGGCAGTTGGGGGGAAGGGAACGTGGCGGGCCTGGGGCCCTTCCCGGCCATGCTCACCGCTCAGAGCAGCACGGAGTAGGGCGGGGGCCCCCCTGCACCTCGGTTTTTCTGAAAATGCAGGGAGGGTTGGTTTCTTCTCAGCAAAATGTCTGGGGCTCCTGGGGCCATCCGAGCACTGAGCCTCCCCACCCCTCCCCGGGGCACAGCGGCTGGTGGAAATCTGGGGTCGGAGGGCATTTGCGCTTGACCCTGAAGAAGCCAAGGCTGTCTTAAGGGAAAAAAATGAGCATTTACCTTGGATGTTTAAACATTATGAATGCACCTTGGGGGTTTCATAGATGGACCTTCTGCCATCTGTAAATGGGAGTAAGTAAAAAAGCTGTCTAAATGCTCTCCAAATAAGAAAGGGGACTGACTCAATGTCTGGCTAATTTAAAAAAGAAAACAAGAGTGTATGTGGCCCCATATCTGCTGACTTCTTCCTTTATTTATCCTCTGAACCTTGGAGCGTGGAGGACGCCTTGGCCTTTACGAAGCCCTGCACCTCCCCTTCCGTCCAGTGTAGACGCTCACACTGCTCATTCTTGTTCTTAGCTTTTTTGCTCAAAGCTTTCAGCAAAAGGAGCCATTTATCGATTTGTTGTAACAATAAATGACAAGATGAATAGATAGCTCTGAAATTTCTGCCTTACCAATGGTTTCAGCCCCTCCCCCACCAACAACCCAAATTTTAACACCAGCAGGAAATGGCCAATGTGAGTCACGTCATGGCTCCCTTTCTGGTCTGGTAGTGTTGGCATCAACTTTGAGCGGCCAAAGCGGCTGTGCACCTACCCCCGTGAGAATGAAAGTGACAAACACACCTTTAAGGTGCCAAGGACGCCTGACTGGCCTCGGTACAGACGGAGCATGTTTGTTATTAGAGGAGGAGGGCGTGTGCTTTGTCTGTCAGCTGGGTGTGTATTTCCCACTGACTGGCAGGTCTTTTTGTAAGGAGAGGAAAACGGGGTTATTGACAGAAGTTGGGTGATCACGTTGAGGTAGTTACTCTGCCCACGCTAGGATTCCCCCTTCAGGCATCATTCACGGAGCCATAACAAAGCCTGGTAAAGGTAGCATGTGCATGGACGCAGCAATAGATATGTTATTAATATATCAATAATATGTGTTGTGTTTCACAAATTGGAGGTTCGGGACTGCACTTGGGGCACCTTGGCAGGGGAGAGAGTTTCTGTGCCAACATTAAGGGTCTGTTCCCCATAGTTTTATGTATTTCCATGGCCCAGGAAAATTCCTTGTTGGCCCATGGCCCGTGCGTTTTATTTCTCTGCAGCATGCACGTGGCTCTTAATCAGGGACCGGTGAGGGCCAGCAAAGGCTAGCAGGTGATTTGTAGGCATCTCCACTGGACCTCCCTACGACGACAGCTGCACTTGGTGTGACATTTCAGCAAGATGGATGGTGGGCATGAATTTCATTTTCTTTTCAGTAAATCACAACCAGCCACTCCAAACAGGCCTCTAAAATGACCACGGCATTTCACCTCCCACACGATGTGTTCTTTTCTCTGTCTTTTTGATCTCTACTCTTTCTTTCCTGATAAGCCCCAAGAGAAAAAAATAGAAGATAAGATGTCTTTTTTTTTTTCTTTAAGTCTCTAATTGAACATAATCAGTGACCCTTATGCAGGCTGTCATGTGTGCCATGTGGCTTAAGATGATGGATTTGAAGGTTTGCTGGTAATACCAACTTAGACCGGGAGCTAAGACGTGGGTGGAGTCCCTGGGAAAATAAAGGCAAAACAACCTTGGCTCATCCAGTGATGGAGCCCTCTGATGTGACAGGGCTGCAGAACCTGAGGTTCCCCGTGTCACTCTTGTGGGAACCCCGTGCACTGTGTTGCATGTGAGAAATGGTCAGAGCTGAGCATGCCAGCTACGCAGAATCATGACCTACATAGCCAGCCTGAAAACGCAGGCTCCCTCTGCTCTTCTGGTTAGACGACCCTGCCAGAATTCTGTCCTTAAAGGAATACACTGCAGCGTACCCGTCTGCAAAGCAGGGCGTAGTGGAGAGAGGGCACAGGGCTAGCTGAGAGTCAGCCCATCGCTGCCCCCACCCAGGAGCGAGATCTCGAGCAAGTCCCACCTTATGTGCTCCTCGTCACCAGCAGCAGGAGGAATAACACCCTTGCTCTCGGTGGGTCTCCCCCAAGGCTAGGCTGAGTCACCTCTGACCAGTCACCTTTGAGCCTCAGTTTCCTCCATTTCAGGGAGGATCTGCAATAAGTCTTCACATGGTTATTGTGAGAAAGTAGTGAATTAATGGGCAAAGCCACTTTTAACAAATGCTCACTAAAACATTCTTTTTTGAATGCAAGGAAATACAAGACCTACCTCAAGGATTGCACTCTCAAGTTGGATAAGATGTATACGATGTATAAGATGTATACGAGATGCATAAAGTGAAAACACGGTCCAAGCCACTCTTATTTCATTGTATATGTCTGTAAAGGGTTTGGCCTGGGGGGTACTTTAGAATAGAAATAATTTTCTATTCTAGCTCTTCAGTCACTAGTACCATGTTTCCCAGAAAATAAGACCTACCCATAAAATAAGCCCTAGCAGGATTTCTAAGCATTTGCGCAATATAAGCCCTACCCCGAAAATAAGCCCTAGTGATGGGCGTGGCTACGCAGCGCATCTGCACAACCCATGCATTTCGTTGGAGGGGTAAAGAAGACGAGCAGCCCTTCTCATCCGCCCCATGAGAGCTCTGTTGCTCCACATGAGAGATTGGGGCCAATGTTTCTAAAGGAAATAGAGTCGCATGAAATTCAGGATAGAGTTTGGGGTTTGGACAGTTAGGGTAATGTTCCAGAAGAAGACGACTTCAAACTATATTTGAATAAATGTAGATTGTTGTACTGTACTTAAAAAAAATGACACATCCCCTGAAAATAAGCCCTAGGTGTCTTCTTGAGGAAAAATAAATATGAGACCCTGTCTTATTTTCAGGGAAACACGGTATATAATCTTTTCCCGGGTGTGCTGATGCCATCCAGTACACGTTGGAAGTTAAGTCTCATCACTAGAGAAAAGGAGTCAGAAGGCCAGATGAGAACCTCCCTCTTCTGCCCCGTGCTTTAGGGCTCTGCGCAGAGCGGCTGTGAACGTTGTCAGCTCTGACAGCCTCAGCCCGGCGTCCAGGGACTCCAAGCTGCCACGAGTAGGTGCCAACAGCCGCCTCAGGCTTGCACCGGCTCCAGGCATGTTCCTCAACACAGGCCAGGGAGATCTGCTGAAATCCGTGGTCCCAGACCCCCAGGTGGTGTAGTGATGAGTGTGACTCTCTGGGACTCGCGCTTCTCAGGCAGGCTCAAGTTGAGTGGTTGCTAGCTTTCTCCCTCTCTGGTTCCTGAGCGTGCTGCTCTCTGGCGTCCCCAGGCGGCTAACTCATGAGATGATCCTTTCCACCGTCCTGCTATAGGACGTGGGGAGCCTTGCCTTGAAGCGTCAAGTTTTATGCACGAGGATGTATTTATTTTCATTTTATTTTTAATAGATTTATTATACTTATTCAGGATTTTTTTCATATCTACTCTTGTCATTTTTTATCATTAACTTTATGAATGTGACAGTAGTTAATGGTTTTTAATTGTTTTATTTATTACTAAACAGTTTAGGCATAAAAGACATGACAATATTTCAAGCATTTGCGGACTCTCTAAGCTTAATATTAAGAAAAAATTAATAATGTATCGACTTCCTTCTTCTCAAAGTGTATATATCTTATAGCTTCTACTATTTGACCTTTTATTACAAATTAAAAATATATATATGGGAGAGTAGTAAGAATAACACCCAAATACTCATCATCTATAGTTAACACTTATTAACATTCTGCCATACTCACCTTATCTATGTTTTGTTATTGTTGTTAGTTAGGGTTACATTTTTTAATATATTTTATATATCTCAACTTCGACCCCTCAACTTCAGTTCACTCATGTTAGCAGAGGATCTTTATCAGCCCTTCCTCTACCATCCAGAAGAGTCCTGGGAGGATTCAAAAAAGTTAAAAATGGATCCTGAGTAACAACAGAGCTCTTGTTTATGGACCATCTACTATGTCCTAGGCACTTGACACGCCTTATTTTAACCCTCACAACAACCCTTAACTGGTGTAGATATTATCCTCGTGTGCCATTTTGGGAAACTGAGGCTCAGGGAAATTGTGTAGCTCTCTGAAGACAACATAATTAGAAAATGATGGAGCCAAGATACAGATTCAGTCCAGTCCGCATCCAACGCCCACGTTTTCCCACTATATTATGGTGCTGCCTCTCCCTCCCCCACCCCTCAAGGTGCTTTTGATGTCGTTAAAAGGAAAGAAACGATGGCCAAACAGGTGAAAAAATAATCTACAAGTTAAACATTTATTCAGCATGCTAACAGGAAATGACCTAAGGTGATATGTAACCTGTTGCCATAAAAAAAAAACCCTCTACATGCTCAGGTGAAACCTGAGCATTGGGAATGGGAAGGAGCCTTGGAAGAGCCAGTACAGAGAGCGGGGTATGGGGTGTGGGGTAAGGAGGAAAGAAAGCC